CAGCCGGCCTTGGCCTTGCAGGCATTGTACCACCCGAAACAACATCAGAGCCTCAGCCACCAGTCTCCAGCAGGAGCCAAGCTCAGCAAATCGAACCTCCAACACCCTGCAAGCGCTAAAGCTGGGATTGGAGCCTTAAGGTACCAAACCCCGCGCGCACTACTCCCACCGAAAGAATCCTTGGGGAAGCCTTTTCGGACAGACTCGACGGGCAATGCGTTTCTCAACAAGTCGATAGTGTGCCTGCTGACCCACGAACGGAACGACTAAGCTCTGGAGGGCGCTGAACCAAGAAGTGCCAAACCCAAAACACATTTCTGTTCAGAAAGTCTCACAAAACCCGATTGAAATGGCCTCTTTCTGTCTCGAGTTCACCGCTTGGTCCAAGTAGGCCAAAGCAAATCTCAAGCCACCACAGAGTTGCGCTTCTGCTGCAAGCGCCGGAGGCCAGAAATTCAAGAAGGAGTCTCAGCTGTTTCGGCTTCGGTTTGGCGGTTTAGTGTGTCAGGGCTGCTTTGGGATCCGAGAGCTGGTTGGACTGACTGTTTCTGATTTATTAGAGGAGAAAGAGCATACAGGAATTCGACAAAGACGTGACGGGTGGAACCACTGACGAACACCAAGAGCTGCCACACACTTCTTTGTGGTTCCCCAAATCATCCTACAACTTCAACCAAAAACACCCAAGAGACCTGGTTCTGGGAGGCCCTCCTTGTAGAGGTCGCAAAGCTGGATTTCCTGGAAAGCTGCAGACACCCTCTCGCTCACGAGCTGCAAGAGCAGGAAGCAGGGCCAGGGGCTGGTGACCATAAGAATGAAATCCATCCGACTCCACGAGAGAGCATAGAAGGGGGAGCAGTCATCATAGATCTCTGGGCTGATCAGCCTCGTTACGGCGGCCTGTGACATGAGACCGTATCCGAAGCAGAGGCCCCTTATCAGAGAGGCATCCTCGCTGAGCAAAGTTTTCAAAAGTGAGAAGCTGAAACCCCCGGCCTTGCATCTGTTCTTCTCTGCCTTATAGACATACCTTTCGAAGGCAGTCTTCTCTGTGTGGTTCATGCGGCGCACACTCAAGCGGACCCGCAGCTGCTGCAAAAGAGCTTCCAAGCTGCCCTCCTTGTAGCCAGCCTGTTGAAGGAGCTTCCGCCGAAGCCAATTAGCTCCTGGTATCTCAGCGCAGTGGCTTTCGAAAGCCGTCCACCCAAGAACATAGACGTCGTCAGTACCGAGCCGGTTCAGAAGCTGATACCCATGAGTTCGCATGAAATTGAATTTCGCAGGGGCTTGGTGTGCAAAGGCTTCAATGGTCATCACATCGATTTCGAAGGAGCCGTCGCTCAACAGCGCTTCTAGGACTTCCATCTCGGCACCCTCCACATCCAGACTCAGCCAATCTATAAAGCTAGGGGCGCCATGCTTCTTCAAGATGCCTGGTAATGTCATACAATGCATCTGTTTTCTGGCAGCAGGGGATCTCGCCGTGGCTGTGTAGCTAGACAGCCCGCTTTGCAGCGGCTTCTCCTCGTCGTCGATGAAGTCTCGCACTCCTTCCCGGCCTGCGGCACAGGCATGGACACAAACGGAGGCAGGGCGGTTCTCTGCGCAAAGCCTGGCTTGAGATTCCAGGGGTTCAATAAGTATCCCGGACCAATTCATGCCGTGCTCCAGCGCATAGGTGTTCGAAAAATGCTTTCCATCCGCTGCTCCCAACTCTACAAAAAATCCACCTTTCCGATTTCGCAAGAGATGCTCCACCAAAAACTGGTCCTGCGAAGATTCTGACTTCCACTGTAGCCTATTCCTCTGCCGCTGCTTCCCATAAGCCCCGTCAGCACTCTGGCAGATCATGGCAGAAAACACCGCAAGACGCAAGGGTCGTCCAGCCTTGGCTACTACCATGGCTTCGACAAGATGTGATGCAAGGCACAGTGGGCCTGGGCAACTCGAATCTCGAAATGGTGAATTTCTTAAGGCGCCTTGACCCGTACGCAGGTGCAGGCTCACGCTATGAGGCTCTCACAGAGGGCAGGACAGAGCGCATGTTGCAATCTTACGAGCCTGGAAGAGCTTCCGATGGCCCCTTCACCCCTGACTGGGACTCGACTACGCATTTAGGTCGGCACAGTGCTGCAGTGCTGCTCTGGTGCTGTGTGAACACTGGAAGCCGTACGCTGCCTGCCGCCTGCTCCAACAGCTGATCCCGTCACTGTCACATCTACCTCCGCTCTCTCTGCCAGGCATTCGAAACGAAACCTCAAGACCCAAAGACCGTGGGACATCTCCTCAGCAGCTCGAACCATTTGACTGAAAGTGGCTGCGCTATGGAGGCTACATCCTACCGACTTACGTTGCTTGAGATGGTCAGTCAGGTCGTGACAAGCAGATATTGGCTTCTTACTAGACGTCTGCGCGGGAAGCTGGTCCCTGTAGCAAAAACGACAACATGCTCAATCGCCCATGGCTCGCCAGTAACAAGGGCGGAACAGATTCGAACAAGATTTCGGAGGACTGGGTGATCGGTTCATGCATGGGCTTCATGGGTTTCGCAGGACGCCTAAAGGCTGGCTTTGTGCGAACCGTATGATTACTCTTAGAGTATACAATGTACCGCAACGCGTTACCGTGTTGATGACCTGCACAAACACCTCGATGCTTCCTTATCTGCCCAGTTCAAAGATCATCCTCTGCACCTGTATTCTGGACGCTATGCATCTAATGCCAGTTTCCGTAGATCAGGAAAGTTTTGAGAAAGGATCAATCGTCAGTCACACTCACGCGAATGTACTCATACCCAGGAATCATACATGCCAAATCAATTCCAGCTAGACAGTTAGATAGGTAGTAGAAAGACAGCCAGGCAGATAGATGGTTCTGAATTTATCATGCAACATTGCCACGTTTCTCTCCTGTCTGCCTGCTTCACTCAACAGTTCAATTTCATGCGCATGAGCAGATAGCCAAAACAGGTCTCAATGGGTGCAAATGAAGGTGTGCGCATGTGCCCGATAGATTCATAGATAGATAGACAGATAGATTAATAGATAGATAGATACATAGATAGATAGATTGTCTTGTTTGTCTGCGCAATGCCGGACTTGCCGGGGGCTGCAGGCAGGAGAAGCCGAAATGAACCATGAAATCCAAGCCCAACTATGGTACAGCTGAGGCAACCTGACACCTGCAACATAGGCCTCATTCCTGAAAGTTGCATTCGCTGTGCGATGGGGCATTGCCCAACGACCATGTGCGGGTCAAAAGTGTGGACGCCAGGCATTCCTGCCTCTTGGCAAAGGAGCATTGCCATAGCCTTATGTACCCATTAAAAAATAGCACCCAAACTAAGCTGACACGTACATTTTCAAAGGATGGGCATTTCAAGCAGGAGGCCAATATTGTGGCTCCAACCAGGCATCATGTGGCCATGGCTGTTGTTATGAACCCTTTTAAACAATACTGCGACCGTTCCTAGTTCAGTATTTTGCCAACTGCTACAGAGTACAAACAAACACAAATTGAGACACGCACTCATCTCTACTCACAGGTGCCATACATCCACGCATGTATGAATACGTACACACATATATACATATGACCGCGTGCGCAGACATACATGCAAGCAGGCAGACAAACAGAACACAAACACACACACACACAATCACACCTATATATATATATAATATATACATATATATATACATATAAACATAAATATGTACATGCAGACAGACGAACAGACAAACGGACAGACAGACAGAATGACATAACCCGCATACATCCCCGGGACGAAAGTTTCGGTTTTCTGACACATAATCGGTATCTTTCGACAAACGGGGCTAACCTGCTCAATGTTCAGGACTTCGTGGACGCTGGGGCTTCAAGCTCTGCCCACTGCCATCTATGATACATGTCTGCACCGAACCTCCAAGTAGACAATGCTGTGGCTTGTCGGGTGAGTCCAGGGTATCGAAAACTGCTCGAGATTCACGCTCCGACTTTTGATCCTGGGGGCACAATCGAGGTTCACATAGTCCAGCGCTGATCTTTGGAGCTACACCCAACACTCGCAAACCGTCTTGTGAGCTACACCCAGGATCCACCTGCTGAGGGTCGGTTGCGCAGGGCTAAATTCCAGATCCACGTGCCCAACGTTGAAATGGGGGGGCGACGCCGCACGTACAATTCACTTGACTATTTTTAACCTTGGAAAACAGCAGCTGGATGTTGTGGGTGTGGGTCTCCTGCAAAATAGGGTGACCGGAACGCTTTCTGACAATGAGGGCATGATGAGGGCCTATAAACAAAAGGGCCAGCGCCACATTCCAAAAACGACCCTGTCCAGCCAACAGGCTTGCGTTTGTCTAACCCTGAACCCTCCGCACTGACAGGCAAGATGATGCAAGGACATCACAAGCACCCACTCATGCTCAAGACACACATCAGTGATAATCCGGAGCATCATAGCACATCACAACCAGGCATTCCCATGCAGACAACAGACATCAGTCAGTAACATCACAACACAGCAAAACCAGCCATTCCCCCATGTAGGCCATCGGTGAAATAAAGCTGGGTCCATGTAGTTTTGAGATAAAGCGACCCCCCAGCATGTGCATTAGTACCTTGCAGTTGCACTATGCTACTTTACCTTACACTCATACTTACACATGCATATATACATACACATACATGCATACGCACACACACACACACACGGACCACGCGTGCATACATGCATTCGTGCATGGATGCATGCATGAATGCATGCATGCAAACGAATATACATTAGCACGCACATTCCAAACAGTACAACATAACACCACAATTACCTAATACGTTGCATTGCATTGCAGCCTTTGCATTACATCTGAGCCAGCGAGCTCCTTAGACCAAGGGTCCTGGCCACTTGGTTACCAACTGCGTTGGTGCAGTCTCCAAGCCACCCAGACCGGCACTGTAAAATCCAAGAGCCTACCTTGTCTCCCGGCTTTGGCCATCTCTCTCTCTCTCTCTCTATCTATCGCCCTCGCCACCTCGCCTCTGGCAAGCCCGAAGCCACAAACCTGATCCTCTGCAGGTCTGCTAATTACACTGGCAGCTGGAAATGGCTACATTCAGCATATATACGGCCAAGCCATTAGTGTTGTGACATCACCTCCACCGACTTAGTTCACGCGCCCTAGACTTTGCAGGATTGCTGACAAACATCCGACAGCTCAGCGCCACCGACATTCAGCCACAGAACCTGGCAGTTGTGCAGCAAAGCTTCGGGCTTAGGGATTGAGGCTGCAAGACAGCAACACACCGCAGAAACGTGCGACAATGATGAGGACGACGGTAGGCAAGCCAATGTCTCCCCATTGAGACTAATACGATGTGTAGTAGTTGAACCTTGACGAGCTGCTCTCCTTGCAAGCAGTCCATATCCAGGACGTGCCACTGGAAGGAAGAGGTCATGAAAGAACCCCATACACAAAAAAACAGAGCAGGAGCACGAAAGGAAGATAAGTTCGGCAGAGACCCCTCCCAAGCAGGTGGCACTGAACCCGGACTCTGAACCCCCCTCCCGTCCAGTCCTTCCATCAGAACCCGTCCTATTCAATCTGTGACCTTCATGCACCGACATGTTGAAGTTTGTTTTTCGTCCTAGATGTTGACAAGCTGTTTCCTGCGGCCAGGTTCTTGTATGACCTTCAATTGCCTGCCGAAGGCATCGGTACTGATAACTGCCGAGAAGCTCGATCTTCGCAATGTCTTTTACCTGGTGTCTTGTTGGGATTTCGGGGCTTTCATAGCAGGGTGCAGGATTTTAGTTGGTGTCCGGAGGCTCGAACGCAGGTGTTGCAGCTGCATATCTTAGCATGAATAGTTTCAGGCTCGCGACAGCAAGTCCCACCTAGCACTAAAGTTTCTCGTGACTCACACATGCTAAAGCAATGAGAAGACAGCATTGAATTGGAAGGCCCCAAAAGTTAACCCGATCGAGGGAGACCCAACCTCGGCTTTCGGTGCTCCGTCTGCTTCCAAAAAACCCGCAAACAAGCAAAATCTGGCGAAGGGGTCGAGCAGAAACTCGCGAGTTTGCAGCATTGACCGCTCCGTTGATCAAGCTCCCTCAAACAATCGGGGATGTTCTTGTCTAATTTCAGTGATCAAGATTCACCTGAGGGGTTATGGTGAAGAGCCTCAGAAAAGCCCGAACTGGAGCAGCCCCTGCCTAGTCACAATGTGCGACAGAATCTCCTTTCGGTTGGGGTGTTGCTTTCGTGTCCTCTCCCCTTGAAGGCTTTTCGGGCGTGCGATTTAACTGATTCCACAGGCTGGCTATCTCGGATCTAACGTGCTTTAGGTTCCACATGCCCTCCCAGAAACCCAAAATAGCAGGTAGGCTGCCCCTTGCTCACGGAGCCGGGCGATGACCCACGGGGTGCGCTGCTGCGGGTCGCGGGGCATGCCAAGGTCGTTCAGAACGCACACGACCTTTGCAGGAGTCGTAGACGATGGTATGTATCTTTTTTAAAAAACCCTTTTCCGTCTCGCAGTGATCCCGGAAAGCCGTAAGCTGCCGAGGCGTTTGGTCTATAGACGAAGGTTTGAGGTTAGGTTAAGGGTCTGAGGGTTTTTCCAACATGACACATGTAGATGCACTCACATGGGGTAGCACAGTGGGTAGCGGCATGATAGTAGACTGCAATTCGTGCACCCCAAGCAATTCGAAATGGGTAGAAGTATCAATGTGGATACATAAGCGCATGCAAACATGGAAGCAAAGCCCGTGTGTGTGTGTGTGTCTTGCTTGTATATGTATGGGAGGAGAGGGACGGAAGACAAGGAGGGGGGTGAGAGAGCGG